CTGGGACCCCGGGATCCTCGGCGACCTCCGGAGGGGCTGCGGCCCCGGAGGGCTCCATGATCCAGTGAGGCTAAACCGAAAGGCAGAGCGTGGGCGGCAGGTCCCCACCCCGCCCCTCTAGGGGCTGGACTCTGGAGCCGGAAGGCCGCCACCCGACCAGGGTCCCTCCCTCCCACTGCGCCTCTGGCTGGGCGCTCTCGCCTGGGGATTTAGGGGGAGGAGGGCAGAAGCCCGAGAGGAGAGAACACCACACCTTACCGCACTGCTCTGTCTCTGGGCATCGGGGTGTTCCCACCTGTGGCCCGTGCTGCAGTGACTGTGTCCGTGCATTTATCCCTTCACATGTGTGTGTTTGTGTCTTGGGTAGATTCCTGGAAGTGAGATTGCTGGATTGTCCGGTGTGTGTTTTTAATGTGTTGAGGACACCCCTGTGCTGTTTTCCATGGGGTCTGGGTGGGCTCCACCCTCTCCAGACTGTATATGCGGTAGCTTTTTCTCGTCATTATTTGCTTTTACTTTTCTTTCTTTTCTGTGTCTTTCATCTTTCCCTCCCCTCTCTCCAGGGGGAGCCACTCTCACTGGAGGAGGCTTTGTGAACCTCCCTCACTGTGGTTTTGATTTGCACTTCATGATGACAAGAGATGCTGCACATTTTTCTTGTGCTTGTTGGGCATCTGTAGATCATTTTGGCACTTCCCCCATGTTTTGACTGGTTTCTTCGTTTTCTTTTTGTTGAGCTGTATGCATTCCTTGTAGATCTTGGATATTAGCCCCTTGTCAGATGTAAGATGTGCAAAAGTTTTCTCCTGTTCACTAGGGTGTCTTGTATTTATGATAGGGTTTTTTTTTTTTTTCAATTTGATATATATATATTTTTTTGTTTAAATCCCAAGCAGGGCCTCCCTGGTGGTCCAGTGGTTAAAGACTGTGTTAATCAAACTATGCTAGCCACCTTCCTATGAGTTTGACCCCCAGATGGACAGGGAGCTGACCCCATGGCTCAGCAGACCTCTCCTCACTTGTTAATGCACCTCTCTGCATTGTATTTCAGTCCATCTGCCTATTCTGTTCCCCACTGTCTCTGGTGAATCCTCACACCTCTATACCTCTTACCTATACCCTTGTTCTTGTATGCATAAATACATAAATCTTAAAAAAAAAAAAATAATCCAGGGCCCTCCCTGATGGTGCAGCAGGGTAAAGCACTGCACTAAGAAGCTAAAGCCACTTCCGCATGAGTTCCATCCCAGCCTGCCCCAGAGGAAACCGCATGGTGAGGCAGACCTCTCCTGACCCGCCCACTGCTCCCCTCAGCAGTGTACTTC